AGAGGAGCAGGAAAGCTGATGTTTCAGCTCTGGACCCTTCTTCAGAAGAAGACCCTTTTTCTGAAGAAGGGTCCAGCCCTGAAATGTCAGCTTTCCTGCTCCTCTGATGCTGCTTGACCTGCTGTGTTCATCCATCTCTACACCTTGTTATCTCAGATTCTCCAGCATCAGCAGTTCCTACTATCTATGTAAATACTTGCATTTTTTAAAAACTCAAAGCAATAAAGGTACAATGTGTTAACACTTCACTTCATGTGTTCCATTTCATTCATTACTGCACCTTGTGTTTCAGTTGGCGAGAGAGCTGGCAGATCTTGGCTCGGAGGCATTGGGATGTGTGGTGGTGGAGCCTCAGGTTCCAGCAGTGTTTGGGGCTGTGCCTGGGGTTGGGGCTGGGGCTGAGGCTGGGGTGGAGGCTGGGGTGGTTGATGTTGATGCTTGGTGAGACTGTCCACAAACTCTTGGTGATGGGCTTTCAGGGTCTGGATCTGTTGCTGGAAGGCCATCTGAATGGGCTGAACCACAGCCGCAAACTCTGTGATGAGCGAGGCCTGCAGGAAGTACCACACAGAAGCACAAAATTACATTCAGGAACATTGGTGAAAATGAGATCAATGTAAAGCAAAGGCAGTGGCAAAATGAAGTATAGGCGTGAGGTGTGAGGCGTTCATCATAAAGATCTTGAATTTAATTGAATTCCTCAGAAATGAAAAAGGATAACTCCCATAACAGTTTCACAGTAGGGGTTCTGTTTTCTTTCCTAAAATTGCTAACAGTTTTAATATGTAGTTATGCATTGTGGCATCCTTGCATCAGTGGTAGCAATGTGATCTGAGCCAGAAGCTGGTTAAATAATCTGAACACACAATCTGGGCTGGTACTTCAGTTACGTACTTGGCAGTTCGCTGTCAGCAATGCTATTTTTATTTATCCACTCCTATCTATCCATGTGGATCTAAAAGATCCTATGAGAATATTTGAAAATGGGGGAATTCTCCTCGTGACTTGGACAGCATTTTTATGTCAACCAATAGCAGACAATCTGACCATTTATTTCCTTTGTCAGGAAATGGTGCACTATTGCTGCTATATTTGCCTACATTACTACGGGCAAATTATACTTAAAGTACCTCATTAGCAGTAAAATGCATTTGGATGTCCTGAGGTCATGACAGGAGCAATATGATGTTCTTTCCATCTAGAAACTGTCACATTTGATACAAGTTTTCAAAATCATGAGGAGCTGAACAGAGTAAACAGGAACAGATTGTACCCTCTCATAAAGCTGTAGACAGCAAGGCGGCATAGATACAAGGTAATTTGCAAAAAAAGCAATATGATGAGAAAAATCATTCACATCACAAGTAGTTGGGAAACACGTAGGAGAGGCATTAAATCACAACTATTGGAGAACCAGTGCAGATGAAATGGGCTGAATGGCCTCATTCTGCACTGTAACAACTGAGATTCTGGAATTTGTGTAACATTAAACTTTACAGACTCAACTTACATGATGCAGCAACCTTAAATCCTAGTTTAATTCACTAGGAGCACTGTTGAGTTAAAAATGAGCTTAATACCCATCACCAGTATCAATATCATATATTCCCAAGGCCAGCATAGTCAGTCACAAAAGCTAAGATCTCATTACCTGAAAAAGTGCCATGACTTTAGACCAGTGCCATCTCCTGAACTACCATTCAATTTTCAATTCATCACACAAGTTGTCATTGCAAATACCCTGCTTTAGCCTCCCAATTAGTGCTAAATTTGCATTATTTTAATGCCACAAGCCAACAGCTACTAAGCATGGAAACAAAATCCTACAAATCTAGGTCAAGTTGGATCCTTAGAAGGGAAAGAGAGGAATTTTTGATCTAATTAATCTATGCTGATGTTTAGCACAGGTCACAGATGAACTAGCTTACCATGTCACCCTGACTGTTTTGCAAGCTTTGAAGTAAAGTTAAGATAAGTCACCACAATTGCAGAGGACCATTTCTCATGAGAGAGACAGAGATGAGTGGTGGTGAATTTGACAGGAGGCTAACTACATCTCAGGCAAGGGGTGATGTTGAGAAGGCAAGACCTTCACAGTAACCTCAGCCAGTGCAAGAATTGAACCCATACTGTTGGCATCATTTTGCATTGCACATCAGCCATCCAATAAATTCAGCTATGCCACACTGCCAAAAACATGGTGGAAGGGGGACTTGAATCCTTTTTGCTTAGATGAGTGGAGGATTTAATTTAAAAGAATCTGACAAACAGGCTCACTTCCTAGTCTGAACTTGCTTTAAATGTCAACTATGTCAAAACTGACCAGTAGGTTATCTGCATTCATTACCACTACTTGTTAAGTCTCCTGAATAGCAGGCTGCTACAGATACCACAAGTTACTAACCTGATACTGTCCAAGTCCAAGAGCTGGGCTCTGCAACTGCTGAATAATGGACTCATCAAAGTAACCGTTCTTCTCCCACAGTTGCAACAGCTGAAAAATGACAAAAAAAAGTTCTGTTAGGAGATGTCAGCAATGAAAGACTGCTGAATCTTTTAGAATGTATATCAAACTAGGTTTAAAAAAATATCCAGGCTTCTTTAAGAATTACAGCTTTGTCTTATTAGTGCCTATGTTTGCTGATCAATGCCATGTTCCCTGCAAGTACCTTACGTGGTACTAAAACCACTTGTCATTAGTTTACAGGTACAATGGTACAAGGCATATAATAAAAATGCTGGAAAGATAAAGCAGGTTATTCAACAGCTGTAAGGGCAAAAACAACAGTTGGTGACAGTTTGAGTGTGACCCTGTTGTCTTTTACGCTCAGATATCCTGACTGACCTGCTACGTATTTTCAGGATTTTGCATTTTCATTCCAGATACTCAGCCTTTGCTACTGGCAAGGGAAGATTGGGATTGCATTCCATAACTGAGCAAACTCTTTCGCCAGACCAATAAATGTCTCAAATTGAGCTTCACTGCTCTCTATCCCTCCTCCCACTTTGATTGTTTTGATATCATGGATCAACCAGAGCCAAGAGGACAAATAGCCCCTTGATTGATTCATCTTGGATTTCTCCACCAAATAAAGATGGAGCTGTTAGCACTTGGTGTGTTGACATAGATTACCCAGACAGGAGCTGTAGTTTAACAAGCAGGAACAGAGACCATATGATCCATCATGCGCAGTATTCCAAGTTTTGTCTCACCAAAGCCTTATATACTGAAGCAAAACTTTTTGAGCTTCTTATACACACACATCTCTTTGAACACCAACATTTACATGTTTCATGCCTTTCAAAAAAAATTCTGCTTTTCTGTTCTATTCTTACAAGTAAATTGAACAATCTCACACTTGCCCACATTATTCTCCATCTGTCAATACATTGCCTCTCACTTAACGTGTCTACATCTCTTTTCTATCCTCCTCAGAGCTTGCATTCCCACCTACCTTTGTTACATCAGCAAACTTAGATACATTACACCTTACCTTTGCAATTGGATCACTAATATAGATTGTAAATAGCTGAAATCCTGCACTAATCCTTGCAGCATACACTAGTCACCAGCTTGCCAACTTGGAAGTCCCATTCATTCATGCTGTCAGTTTCTTGTTGTTAAGAAGTCCTCTATCCATGATATCACATCCAACTCAATGTGTCTTTTGTTTAAACCTTTTGTATTTATGTGGTCCTTATTTCATGCCTTTTGGAAATTGAAGTATTCCACATATTCTGTTCCCCTACTAGTTGCATCGTCAAAAAAAAAAATCCGTCAAACAGGATTTGCCTTTTGTAAAAGCACATTTAACTGTACTGTGAGGTTTTTTTTTTAAGTGTAATATTAAGACTTCCCTAATAACACTTTTTGATGACAGATGCCAGGTTTAACGCGCCTATAGTTCCCTTTGTTCTCTCTTGCCCTTCTTTCTTCAACAGGAATTGTTACATTTGCTAGTTTCCCATCTCTAAGACCATTCCAGAATGTAGAGAACTCTGGAAAGTTCTAGCTGAAGCAGCCACTGTCTCTGCAGTTATAGAGTCATACAGAATGGAAACAGACCCTTCGGTCCAATTTGTCCATGCCTACCAGGTTTTCTAAACTGAACAAGTCCCATTTGCCTGCTTTTGGCCCATATCTAAGGAACCTTATCAAATGCATTATCCTTTTTAAAAGCCTAGTATGGATGCCATCAGGTCCTAGATATTTGAATTTTAATCTCAGAGGTTTCTCCAGTTCTCTTCCTTCATCTTGCTCATCTCTGGGTTACTCTCTATTTCTGGTATGCAACTTGCGATTCCCAAGGTAAAGTCAGACAAATAGAAGATAAATTTTTGGGTAATTTCCTCAGTTCTCATGATAATTTCTGCTGTCTCTTCTTCTATCAGATCACCATTTACTTTAGGTACTCTCTGCCTTTTTCTAAACTTGTAAAATATCTTACAATCAATTTGTTTGCTGTCATTTTATTTTTTCCCCTTGTTTTTAAACAAGCTTTGCTAGTTTCTAAAACATTCCTAATCTTCAGTCTTACAATTACTTTTTGGAACATTATAAGCTTCTTCTTTTAACTTAATACCATCATTAGCTGGTTGGATCTTTCTCACTGAAGTTTTCTCAATGCATTTTGCTGAAACTTCTGAATTGTTTCTTCAAACGCTCCCCACTGTTCATTTACTGCCACACCTTGTATTCTATTTATACAATTAAGCTGAGCTAGCTCCCCCTTCACACCTACGTAATTGGCAGTTCAGATTCTTGCTTGTGATGGGAAAATGCAGATTTCAAATTTGATGTAGAATTCCACTGTATTTTGATTATTTCACAGTGAATATTTTAGTGTGGCATTACTAAATAATTCTAACTCTCTGCACAAAACTACATTTGAATTAGTTTTATCCTTCATTGGTTCAGCAGGTTGCTTCAGCCTTGGTCACCATTTAATCATGTCTGTATTATGCCACTACTCTGTCTTTGTGCATCTTACCATAAATGTTTTGTGCAATCAATCAGGAGTTCTGAAAAAGGGTCATTGGATCTGAAATGTTAACTCTGTTTTTTCTCCACAGATGCCACCAAACCTGCAATTTGTTTTGTTAGTCCAGGTGTATATCAAAATCAATCATCCCCAATAAGTAGTAGCCTTAATATCAAATGATTACTTTGTTCTCCGATCTTATAAACTCCTCTTCCCTTCAATTACCTTTATGTTGCCATAGTCTCTGTTGTAATCTCTAACTCCAGTTCTGTATTCCACAGCCATATAATGCTCTGAGTAGAATCTTTTTCCTTCCCTTGAATTCACATCTTTGAATCATAGAATTTTACAATACAGAAGGCAGCCATTCGACCCATCATGCCTGTACCAGCTCCCGAAAGAGCTACCCCGCTAGTTCCACTCCCCAGCCCCATCTCCATAGCCCTCTAATTTTATCACTTTCAAATACATATCCAGCTTTCTCCTATGGCATCTGCCTCCACTAATCTCCCTGGCAGTGCATTCCAATTCCTGACAACTCTTCTTTTTTTTAAAAAAAAGGTTGCTCATCTCACTCCTAGCTCTCTTGCCAACAATCTTGAAATTCTGATTCCTAGTTACTAACATACCAACTAGTGGAAACAGAATATTCTCTTTACCCTGTCAAAGTTGCTCATAATTTTGAATGCCTCAATAAAGTGACCTCTTAATCTTCTCTGCTCCAAGGAGAAAAGGCCCAAGCTCTATCTAAAATCCTTCATTCCTGGTATCGTTCTAGTAAATCTCCTTTGAACTCTCTCCAGGACTTCAACATCCTTTTTTAAAGGAGGTGCCCAGAACTGACCACTATACTCCAAATGTAATCTGACCAATGATTTGTACAGGCGCAGCATCACTTCCTTGTTTTATATTCTATACCTCTATTTATAAATCCCAAGGATCCCATAAAGCTCCTTAACAACTATTTCAACTTGCCTGGTCACCCTCAGAGAATCATGCATGTGAACCCTGCGATCCTTCTGCTCCTATATTCCCCTCAAAGTTGTACTGGTGAGCCTGCATTGTGTCTCCATGTTTCTTCTACCAAAATGAATGACCTCTCATTTCTCTGCGTTGAAATTCATTTGCCAGGTGTTTGCTCATTTGGCCAACTTGTCAATGTCCCTCTGAAGTTGCTCAGTGTCTATTCTCCCCAGCTCATCTGCAAATGTAGTGATTTTGCCCTCAGCACTCACCTCCAAGTCATTTATACAAATCATTTAATGCAAGAGTCCTAACACCGATCACTGGGGAACATCACTTTCACCTCATCTCCAATCTGAGAAATGCCCATTCATACTGACCCTCTGTTTCCTATCTTTTAGCCAATTTCTAATCCATGCTGCCAAGGACCCATCAATCCCAAATATTTTTAATTTGCTAGCCAACCTGCCAATGTGGTACCATATCAACTGCTTTCTGAAAGTCCAAATATACAATATCCACAGCAGAACCCTTGTCCACTGCTTGTGTCATATGTGGCCTGCCCTTGACAAAGTCATGTTGACAGTCTCGTATGACCTTATTTTACTCTAAGTGTACATTCACCTTATCCTGTATTGTGTCCTCCATGAGTTTTCCCATCATTGGTGTCAAACTGACAGGTCCATAGTTTCCTGGGTTATCCTTTGTCCCTTTCTTAAACAACAGTGTCACATTTACAATCCTCTGGTACACCAGGACTAATCTTGTGTTCAAAGAGGCCTGAAGATTTCTGTCAACACCTCTGCAATTTGCTCCCTTAAGTCTCTCTGCAATCTAAGAATCACCCCAACTAAGCCTGGTGACTTCTGGAGTGCCGCCATTAAGCATTTAATTTTTCCCATTCCTTCTGCTCCAGTCAATTCCTATCTACTCTGCCCATTCTTTCATAAATTTTAAAACATCTTTATCATATGATCCCATAGACTCCACTGTTTCCCACTTTGTTCTTCATATTTATGTTTCTCTCATTCAAGTTCCTAGAGATTCAATGCTGTGTCCTCACACAAGTTTCAACCCATCTATTATAGGAGCTAAAACTGAAACACAGTACTTCAATCCTACAAAGGATTTATATAGAGTTATTCTGACTATTTAAATATTCTACATATAAACCTATGTTTTCCATTAACCTTCTGTGACTTTATCCTCTTTAGTCACTGTGATTAAGGTTTTATTATTAAAATTAACCTACAGCCCAGTTTTGGGTTCTACTGTAAAACAGATCAAGACATATTGTTGGCGATCCAATTGCTCTTAACTACAGTGAGAACTGATTCATCAGAGATTGGGTGCAACCAGTGACAACAGCGTTGAGCAACAAAAAAAAACCAAATATAAGGACCAAACTGTAATGTACTGCAGAATTTAACTACAGTGATTCAAGGTGGCAACTCATCATCTTCTCCAGGGCAACTAGGGATGGGCAATAAACTTTAGCACAGCAAGCAACACCCTGCTCCCATGCATGATTTAAAAAAAGAAACCCGCAACAAAAGAGACACTGTGCTGTCCCATTAAAGCAGGCGTATCATTGAGATGAGGGCATGGAGAAGTAAAGAACTGAGCACAATATCTGGTGCCAAGCAAGTCTTTTATTGTGTGTATTAAAAATGCCAGCCATGAAACAAAGGTATCAACCTTCACCATTTATGGAATTGTATGATAAAGCACTGTTGAATACATTTCTCAAACTATTTCCCAATAAAGCCCCATGTTAACACTTCAAAATTCATACGAATCCAAATGCTAGCAAAAACAAAACAGCAATAAAGCAGCACTGCAACATTTAGTATTGTTTTTTATGAATAGTATGTATAAGTCTAAATCATTTAATGAAAGTCTGTATTTTGAAAATACTTTTTAATGTTATTAAAATATTATATTATTTTGTGTACTCACCAGCCCAGTACTTCATATGAGCTGTACCAGCTCATGGACCTTGGCCAGGAAGCAGCAGAAGAACAGGCTGAAGTTCTTGAGGTGGCTGATGTTGGAGTCCAGGTCATTCAGCAGCACCAGGGTGACAGGGTGAGGCTGCAGCTCAGCAGCGGAGACATCGCCACCAGGTTCATGGTCAGGGCAGAGCTTTAAGACTCAGTGAAGTGGCTACGAAATTGAAGTCCATGGCCCGAAGAGAAAGAGACTAAGAGACGAGCAGGGCAAGGGCAGGGCTGAATACCTCCTGGGCCTCATTGAGCGTGGGTACAATCTTAAAGGAGGGAGAACCTGTGACCCCATTCACTTTCTGCTACCCAAATTAGAGTTGCAACCGACAGTTTGCAAATCACTCACTTATTACCATATCATGCAAATTTCTTCCAGCACAGATTAATAAAAATAAGAAAAATCTTAAATAACACACTACCGCCCCCTCTTGGTGAACAAGCTGACTCATGAGCAAGTAGGGAAAATTACCCGTGCAATCTTCTGTTGTTTGTCCTCCTCCACAGCAAGGAAGCTGGTGCAATAAATAGGAACCACGACTTTCTGCAGGGCTGCAAGCAGGTCTCGGGCCTGTTTCCGCTGACTGTGAACACACAACAAAAGAAGGATGAGATGCAACACGCTCCCAAAACAAAGAAACAATTCAATTATTAACAACATTTGAACTTTTCTGTTCATTCAGACACATTGACAAGAACGAAAACATGTAAGGAAGTATGCAAAGTCTCGGACTACAGAAATTCTAACAAGACCATCACATGAAGCTCAAAGCAGAGGAGAGAGACCCAACAGTATCACAATTCTTGCAGTCTGTGTTTCAGTCACTGGATGGTGCATACCATCCAAGAACTTTGTAAAGTAGCTGAAACTGAGTGCATTAAAGGCCCTATTATCAATGGAAAAAGGTGGAGCACAAGAACTGCCTGATTAAATACTCCCTGGAGCTACTGGGTTAAATTTAGGCTTAGGCTAATAAAGTCATTCTATTTTTAATATAAATAGCATACTCTTGAATCTGACTTCTGACTATATGTTTGTCTTTTGGAACTTACTAAGGCAGCTGTGTTCTCCCTAACCTGCAACATCTGTTTTAGGTTAGATTCTTGAATTAATATGGGTATGCTTACTGATCAGACCCACTCAGTGGAGTCACATCAGAGTCCTGAAAGGGAAGCGGAGAATTAATTTCATTTCCTACTGAGTGCTTCTGCATAGTAAAGCACAGCCCTCATAAATTAAAGTTACTAACTCAGAACAGATTAGGCATAGAAAAACGAGGCTTGCCTTGTACATAGTATTTTACAACTTGGCTAACAGACTCCTACACCTGCCATACACAGATTATATCTGTACATTAAAGAATCTGCTACACCCTAGTATCATGGTCAGCTGCTAACATACCCGATATATACAATTTGACCCCATTTTTCATCATTGTCTCCTCCCTGTCCCATGCATCATGCCTTGACCACCAGTGTGTGCATCCTTCTCGAAGTGGTCATAAGGTGGTGCTGGCAGGTAATCCAGCCGAGCTGCCTTTGTAGATGTCCTCTCCCAGCACCCCATGGAAAAGCATCTGATCTTGGTGTGGTGAGTGCCAGGATTCGTGACTCATCATGGTGGGTACATCCATGTGCCTGTAACTTGGAATGTTAAAACCTCTAGAGTGACTTCCTGGAAAGGAGGACTGCAAATGTATCATGATCAAGATTCCAAATTCTGCCTCAGTGATACCTGCCCTCTAAATAGAGGAAGTGCAGTTCAAGGAAGGAGTGGGTGACGTGCCCTTTACTGGAATAGTTGACGTGACCCTTGTATCTGTGTAGTGTTACCATTTGGATCAAGATTTTGGATGCACTGCCAGTTGTAAAAGTGAAAGACTCATAATACTTCATCCCCAGCTCAGCCTCAAAATGTAGCACTGCCATCTGTGTTTATGCCTGACTCCTGAATCCAATGAGAATGCTCAGGAAAAGTTCTATTCTAACTTCGAAGTTCACTGCTACTTCAGAAGAAAAGCCTGTGTTTCTGGGCCTTTCACAAAAGAGTTGGTCATGACTCTGGTGTCTGCTTTGAAAAGATTTCTTTTTTCAATGAAATTCAACTTCTGTAACATCTCTCACTCCTGCTGACAATTGTATCTTCACAACAAATAAATCATGCTGTGAAACTATTTCCTGTGGCCAAGAAAATCAGGTCCAAGTCACATTGTGACTTTAAACTACCAGAGAAAATTCTGACATAGTTTCTGTTGTCAGGAAAATCAAAGAAAAGTATCCCATGCCCAGGAACTCTTCAGTATATTAGTCAGCCTGCCCAAAGTATTTGACTCATCATGAGGCTCTATGGTGCGTACTCTAAGATATAGAAACTTCAGAATCCTGCAACTACTTCAAGATGACATGTCTGAACTGGCTTGAGTGGGAGATCTGCTACAGTTCCCTTTGAAAGCCAGATAACTGCCATACTATAGCCCCGAAACTATTTACAATGTATCCTACAGTGACATAAAAGTGCTGCTGTCTGGTGTCATTGAGATGGAGGCTCTTTAGCCTCAGTCACCTGTGTCAAAACTAAACTGATCACCACAAATGTACATCGATGTTTCCCACAGCTCACCCAATTTACAAGCAATTATGAATCATTTTAGTTCTGCATATAATGTAGACATGGTCAGTAAAATATTCCATCTCTCATATGTTGAAGGAGGCGCTCTGAAGTAGGTTGAGCAGTTTCTATACCTTGGCAGCTACCTCTCTTATAAAGACACCTTTGGTAAAGAGATTCAACAGTGCCAGTTGAGTCCCTACCAACTAAAGCAGCAAGGATGCATCAACAAAGATTTCCACAAGTCAACTGAAGTGCTGGGGTACACAGCAGTTGATGTAACCACATTATGTACGGAGAGACCAGGAAGGATCAGTGTTGGATCCAGTGTTTTTCATCATTTATATAAATGATTCAGATGTGAACGTAGGAGGTATGGTTTGTAAGTTTGCAGATGACATCAAAATTGGAGCTGTAATAGACAGCAAAGAAGTTACCTCAGGGATCTTGATCAGATGGACCGATGGGCCGAGGAGTGGCAGATGGAGTTTAATTTAGATAAAAGAGGTGCTGCAGTTTGCAACGGCAAATCAGGGCAGGACTTATACACTTAATGGTAAGCTCCTGGGGAGTGTTGCTGAAGAAAGAGATCTTGGAGTGCAGGTTCATAGTTCCTTGAAAGTGGAGCCACAGGTAGACAGAATAGTGAAGAAAGTGTTTGGTATGCTTACCTTTATTGGTCAGTGCATTGAGTAAAGGAGTTGGAAGGTCATATTGCTGCTGTACAGGACGTTGGTTAGGCCACATTTGGAATACTGCGTGCAATTCTGGTCTCTCTGCTATAGAAAGGATGTTGTGAAACTTGAAAGGGTTCAGAAAAGTTTTTCAAGGATGTTGCCAAGGTTGGAGGGTTTAAGCTATAGGGAGAGGCTGAATAGGCTGGGGTAATTTTCCCCAGAGCGTTGGAGGCTGAGGGGTGATCTTAGTACAGGTTTATAAAATTAGGAGGGGCATGGAGACAGAAAATAGACAAGATCTTTTCCTCGGGGTGGGTGAGTCCAAAACTACAGGGCATAGGCTTAAGGTGAGAGGGGAAAGATTTAAAACGGATCTAATGGGTAACTTTTTTATGTAGAGGTGGGTGCGTGTATGGAATAAGCTGCCAGAGGAAGTGATGGCTGGTACAATTACAACATTTAAAAGGCACCTGGATGAATATATGAATATGAAGGGTTTAGAGGGATATGGGACTAGGTTTATTTAGGATATCCGGTCAGCACGGACAAGTTGGACCGATGGGTCTGTTTCCGTGCTGTACATCTCTATGACTCATCAGTAACACACATGAGTATTAAAGAAATTCCATCAACAATGGTTCTGCCACATGCCTTAGATTCATCAGGAGGACAAATATATGATAGTGTTCTCCTTGAAGCCAGTTCAGGCAAAACGCCTATAAAATCAAGTACGATCGATTGGCACAGTGTCCAGATGCTGAAATATATTTCCCCTCCACCAAGTGCTGTGCCTCAACTCTCAAATAGCCAGGACTCCAGGGAGGACAGACACTCTGAAGCTCTGTTTGAGGGGTGGTTGCATTGACATTGATGACTGGAAAAACTTATTGCCAATTGTTCAAAATGGCAGTAACTTGTCTGGCAAATTCTGCACTCGTGATCCTATTATTTCATGGGCATAAGGCAAGACACCCCAAAAATCTGCAAGTTGAGAATCAACCTGTTCAGTCACATGAAGAACAATGGCATAAATTTGTGATCCTGCATAGATACATCCTCAAATCCAGGGACAGCAAATGACAACCATTGTATGACTCCTATCCATAACACAGCATTTGAAGATGCTCTGCTGCATCTCCATTATAGCAAAACCCTGACCAACATTTACATTTCCCCAGTAATGGTGTTGTGGACTGCAGCACATAGACTGATACAGCTCAAGAAAGTACCTCACCACCACCTTCCCAAGGGCAACTAGGGATAGGCAATAAATGCTGGCTAGCCAGCAACGCCCACTTTCCACAAGTGAATAAGAAGAATTACTGAGTTGACAAGGCATTCTGTACAATCAGATGAAATCAGGGAACTATAGCATAGGTTACTTCCCATCCCAATCTGTCACCACACACAAAAGTTGTTTTACAAAACTTTCGTAATACGTTTATGATTTTTCACCTTTGGTCTATTTTTCTACAGGTCTAATAACTGGATACAAACCAGTGATGCAGCACATCATTTATCAAGTAGATCAGATGAAGGCGTAGTTCAAAATGAGCTCCTTCAGCTGTGATACGGTTTCGCAGGTGGCCAGACATCAGCTCACAATGCTGTGGGGTTTTTGCATTATTAAACATCCAGTTCTTACCAGCCTAAAGGAGAAAGGAGAACACAGCAGGAGATCATGAGTGTTTTGGTCACTCCTGAGGGTTGCAATAAAATAAGCAACTTAAAAAAAAAGCACCATCTCCAACAGCATCCATCAAAAATAAAATATTATCAAAATCTTTTTGTTTTTAGTGTGACCTTAACATTGACTTTAAAAAAAAAGTCAAATGATACTGCATTAATGGGAAGAGAATGATGGCATGGGGTATTTGTATATATTTGAATTCCAGCTGTTTTCATGGTTCAGTTTTCAGTAGTGCCCTGTCACTACCATTTTATTTAATTCATCATGGGATTTGGTCATCAATGGCTGGGCCAACATTTATCGCCCGTCCCTAACTGCCCTGGAAAAGGCTCGCACACAGGTATAGTCCTTGTGGTGTAGGAACACTCTCAATGATTTCAGTAAGGGATTCCAGCTGTTCCAGTTCAACGGCCAGGGACATCTACCCCTTGTCACAGTTAAAATACTAAACAAGCAGGATGCCTTGTCCAAATTGCAACACCACTAGGATGCAGAGACATTCCAAAGTTGTTTCACACAACCCAATTTAGCCTTTACATTAGCATTTCAGATATATAACATGACAGCTGGAAAGCAAGCTAAAAATTACATGAGTGGTGACCAATGTTCCCTCTAAATCACACAACAACCTGCAAGGTTCTTTGAACACCATGTAGGTTGAAAACAAGCTGGCTTCTCAATGTCAGTTGCTTGCAGGGTGGTGCAAAAATGTGGTAAAGACCACGTTCACTTCTAGGAATTGGATGTGTACAACAACGAAAAAAAGGCACGTTAATGAACTCTACTACTGGACTACGGCCATCTTCTCAAGTTAACCAAGTACCAATAAATCAATGACCAAGAAGTATTCAATGCATAATGCAGAAACATTCAAGATTGTAAAAATAATTCTGATCAAGGACAATGGTTGTGCATGACAACTTCAGATCATATTCACTTAAACTATAAAAAATAGCCAGCTACACAATTCTAGATTTCCTTCGAACTTGGATCATGACTAGAGAGATCATGGAGTTATTTAACAAGGGTAAAATGTTGAAGGCTGGCGTTGTCACAGGTGATACTGATGGGAATAAATGAGATCATTTAACAACACGACATGGAGAAAACCGATACATTAAAACATATTGGATTAAGTGCAATTCATCTTATTGGTACCAATTATAAATCAATCAATAAGTTTGGCGACTACAACAGACAGCCTCAATTGTGAGGCAAGATATTCCAATCCCAGATGTTCTAAAATTAGAATTAAAGTTCACTACAATACACGTCAAAAGCACAGCCACAAAAAGGAGGAGGACAACACTGCTCCTCTATCTGTGACATCAACTTCACTTTCCTGCCTGGTCCCCCTAACGTTTGATCCCTTGTTGATTGAAAATATGTCTAACTCATTATTGAGTATCTCCAATTACCCAGTGTCTACTGTTCTCTAGGATAGTAAATTCCAAATATGAACATACCTCTAAGAAATGTTTTCTCATCTCCACCTTAAGTACGAGATCCCTGTTCTGAAAAGGCGCACCCCTATCTTTAGATTCTTGTATAAAGGGAAACATCCGCTCAGTATCTACCCTGTCAAGCCCAGTCCGAATCTTGAGATTTAATAAGATCACCCCTTATTCTTCTAAACTTCAAACAGTATAGACTCAAACTTCTCAACATTTCTTCATAAGACAACCCATTTACCCTAGGAATCAACCTAGTGAACCTTCTCTGATTTCTTCCAATGCAAGTATATCACTTCTGAAATAAGGAGGCCAAAACTGTAAATAGCATTCTCCTTGTAACCTCACCAATGATCTGTACAATTGTAGCAACACTTTCTTATTTCTATACTACAAACCCCTTGCAATAAAGAATAACATTGCATTTGCATTCATAACTACTTGGTGCACCTGCATGCTCACTGTTTATGATTCATACAGATTCTTTTGAACTGTCACAATCTCTCACTCTATTTAAATAATATTCATTTTCCATATTTTCTCCATATGCTAAACATCTGCCCACTCAATCTATCCATCTATGTTTCCATCACAACTTGCTTTCCTACCTATCTGCTCATCAGCAAACTTGACTACAATATAATCTGTCTCTTCATCTAAGTCGTTAATACAAATTGTAAACATATGCAACTGCTTATCTATCATTTTATCTAAAGTTATTTCCAGACTACTTTAGTAAACTTTGTTTTTATACCTAATCATTTATATTCTATCAAGTTGTGATCAATCTTACTTTTAGGATCCTTTGTTATTCATTAACCCTATCTCAATACATAACACCAAGTCTACAATAGCTGTTTTCCTGATTAGTTTCAAAAGTAGAAGGTTCTGATGAAGAGATAGCATGTCCTGATGAAGGGCCCCGACCCAAAACATTGACTCTCCTGCTCCTCTGATGCTGATTGACCTACTGTGTTCCTCCAGCTCCAAGCTGTATTGACTCTGACTCCAGCATCTTCAGTTCTTGCTATCTCTTCTTCAAAACCTTCTACTTCTGAAACTAATCAGGAAACCAGCTACTTTAGACTTGGTGTTATGTAATAAGACAGGATTAATGACTCGTGTCCTCATGAAGGGTCCACCCGAAACATCGACTCTCCTGCTCCTCTGATGCTGCCTGACCTGCTGTGTTCCTCCAGCTCCACAATGTATTGACCCAGGTTCTGAAGGAGGGTCACTGGACCCAAAATCTTAATTTTCATTTTCTCCACAGATGTTGACAGACCTGCTGAGTTTCTGCAGTAATTTCAGTTTTTGTTTTATTTTGGTTTCAGAAGGTATTGTTCTAAGAAAATGTCCTGAATACATCTTTAAAGGTACCTTTGACAATTTGTTGTCTAATCTATGTGAAGATTAAAATTGCCACCAATTTGCAATATTTACAAGTCTTATGTTTTGATTTATACTGTCTTACAGTATAGCTACTGTTAGAGAAGTACACTCACCACCGAAGAGAAAACAGTATCTAACCCCTAGCTGTACTGCCGGCAACATGATTGCAATTGGCTACTTTTAGGGGGTCTGCATTCTTCATATCAGCGTTGTGGAGTGGAACACCCATGTTTTGCAATCTCCACAGCAAAGTTCATTCCCCCATTGTCAAAGAGCCAAAAAAAAATCAAAATGCATTTGCTCAGTTGCTGCAATCCCATGGATCTAACTTGAAGCCCACTGATACACTGCTGATGCTCAAAAGAAGGTGACCAAAGTGGCAACACATAAATTTTAATCCTCATTATATTCTAGTTTTTCTTGCCTTTATCTGAGCACTCTTGCAGCTAGCACCACAAATGGAGTACAGTTCTACAGACATAAAACTTCCCTTGTACATCTGGCACAGTGACCATTTTTCATGTGAAAACCCAGACCCGACTGCAGATGGGAAAATATGACCATTTTCACTGCCATCAGCATCCATATTCAAATTCCACACGCACAAGGACATTGTAGGCATTCCTGGTTAGTGAAGTGGAATTCTTGCTTCTCCCCAAGCAACCATACTACTGTCTTTAATGGTGTCAGATAACTCAGGATAAACCAAGGATCAAGACTTAAGAGTTATTTGTAACTGTGTCAGCTACAACAGTAGTATTGTGTGTCTCCCCTTTATTGTATCACACATTTTGTTGATTTGCATGTAGCAAGCTTTAGTAGCTAAAAATTAGATTAGATTATGCACAGTTGAAATTTTCATCCAAGACCCAGCGCCAACATTAATCTCTGTTTAACACTATCAGTGTGAAACCTGCAAGTTCAAATCAAGTCAATAAGAGAGGCACCGTACTGAGATAGCATCTTTGGTACAGCTGTCGATAATGGGTTGTAACAGGCTGTCAAATTCAGTCATGTCCAGCTGCGTCTCTGACAGGAGCTTCTGTATTTGTTGTTCCATTGCCAAGGCAATTGCTGCAGTTATTTGCTCCTAGATGAAAATTGAAAAGCTTCATTAAATAGAGAAGGGATCAAATGACAAAGGAAATGATAGAAACACAATCAATAACAGTTCTGATGAAGGACCACATCTCAAATTGCTGTTTTTTCTTTAAACTACCCATTCATCACCTTCCAGAGAGTCAGAGGCCTACAGAACAGAAAAAGGCCTATCAAGTCTGTGCTGGTCCAAAACAACCACCTAACTATTCTAATCTGTGTTTTTTAAGCAAACAGTTAGGCCATAGCCTTCCAGGCCCACGCCTTGGCATTGCAAGTGTACATCTAAATATTTCTTACAAGCTGTGAGTTCCAGATTCCCACCAGAGTGAAAACACTTTCCCCTCACCTTGTATCTAAACCTCTTACCCCAATGTTAAATTTATGCCCCCGGTCTTTAATCGATCCACCAAGGGGAAAATGTTCTTTCCTGTCTACCCTGTCTATGCCCCCCATAATTTTATACATAGCAATCATGACTCCCAAATGTCTTCTGCTCTAAGGAAAACAACCCCAGTCTGTCTGATCTCCCTTCATAATTGAAACTCTCCAGCCCAGGCAATAACCTGGTAAAAACAAAAACAAAGTTGCTGGAAAAGCACAGCAGGTCTGGCAGCATCTGTGAAGGAGAAACCCTTCCTCAGAAGTGGTCCTGTGAAACATTAACTCTTCTTTCTCTCGACATATGCTGCCATACCTGTTGAGCTTCTCCAACAACTTCTGTTTTTGTTTCAGATTTCCAGCATTCACAGTTCTTTGTTTAATTTTATTGTATAAGTGCAAGTTGTTGACCCAGATTTCTTGATACCCTTATCTATCTTCTTAGAAAAGAGACAAAAAACAGCTAACTACAGGCCAGTTAGCTTAACATCGGTTATTGCCAATATGAAAGGGTCTATTAAAAAGGACGCAACAGCACAGCATTTAGAAATATACAAACAAGCAGAGTCAGCATGGCTTCACGAAGGAGAAATCATGTCTGACAAATGTAATCGAATTCTATGAAGATGCAACAAGCAGAATAGATAAAGGAGAAACGGTGAATGTAATATATTTGGATTAATAATGCACCACACATTGGGCTACTTAATAAGATAAGAGTTCATGGTGCTGGAGGTAGCATATTAGTTTGGACAGAAGATTGGCTAAGTAATAGAAGAAACAGCTGGGATAAAGGAGGTATTTTCAAGATGGCAATCTGTAACTAGTCAAGTTCCACAGGTATCAGTGCCTGGGGACACATTACTTTACAATGTTTATTAATACATTGGATAACGAAAGTGAACGGACTATTGCTAAGTTTATGATGACATAAAAATAAATTCAAAGGCAGGTGGTGAGGGTGGCACAAGAAATCAGAATGAAATAAACACGTTAATCAAGTCTGTAAAAACTTGGCAGATGAAACACAATGAGTAAATGTAAGCTCATGCACTTTGGTAGGAAAAATAGAAGAGCTGAATATTATTTAAATAGGGAAAGACTGTAAGGGAATCAAGGGTTATGGGGAAAAGGGAGGAAAGTGGAGTTAAGGTTTATCCAATCAGCCATGATCTCTGACTGGTAGAGCAGGCTTGATGGGACAAGTGGTCTAATTCTGTTTCTACATCTTGCAGTCTCATTGAAATTTATTAGCCACAGTCTTGAAAATTTCATCAACCACAGCATCCAGAGTCTTTTCAGTTGAAGAGAATTTTGTATTTCCACTATCCTTTATCTGAATTCCTCCTGCTGATGAAAATTGAAATAAATATCACAGAGCACACAGAAGATTGTTTCAAATTAGGAATATTTAGTGGCAAAGTCAAAGCTTTAGATGCTAACTGAGATACTCAAATACATAACTGAGTTTATATTATGCCAGGACAATGGACCGCTATCTTTGCTGGGGTCCAGTCTTATCACTGCCAGGTATCATGACTGACCTGTCTTTGCACAAGGAGATGCTGTTCCTGCTGCTGTAGATTCCATACACTCTGCTGAATCAACTCCTCTAACTGTGGCTGGCCAGGAGCTGGAGGTGTGGGTGGCTGAGTTAGAGTTGGGGCAGGAGCTGGGACTGGCACAGCTGTGGAGGCAGGGGGTGGAACTGGGGCTGGGATTGGAGCTGGCACAGGGGCTGCAGTTGGAGGTTCACTTTCCTGCCCTGATGGATTACACAACACTGCAAAAAGAACACACAGAAGTTAAATGTTAAATATTCCACAACATAATTTTATTCATCATAAAGTAAACAACATGGACTGAATTTGGTCAGTATCTCTTTGAACCATCTTTCTTTCTCAAAGCCCATTCGCAGATCCAGATCTCTAGACAGTAAGGGTCCTTGAATGTCACAGGATGCAGTCATTCTTCAAGTAAGGTCACAGCTGATCAGGTTTGAGCTTAATAGGTATCCCTCTGAACAGGGATTTTGCTGGACATCCAATCCTGAGTGAGAATCTAAATAACTCTCATCTTTAACAAGTCCAAGGACACTCAAGTTGTCCTGTCAATTCTTCAGAGATGTAGGATAAATGAAAAATCTAATGGATTTAATGACTTGCAAAGGCAGATTGAAAGTCATTTCTGAGCTACATGACTCAGCACCACACCAAACTTTACATTTACCCAGCACTGCAGAAAGGGAATTTTGCTTTAGGATCAGAAGCAATTGTGTCTCAGGAAACATACTTTTCAGGAATATGTATTTCGATATCGGAAAGAACATTCTGTTCTGCAACTTTTTCTTCCAATGGCATTTCTGAAATTCTGAGTAGTTTCTCATGTTGCTATCGGTACAGCATTCCGTTCAAACTGTGTCATGTTTCAGCTAGTCAGGAAAATATATGAATGGATAAGAATTACACATCTTATTTTAGGGGCACACAACCTCTTAACAACACTGCTGCACATGTGTCAGATGCGGTCCAATCATAGCACAGTACAGCAAGCCAGGATATTATGGGTTTACGTCCCGCACAAAGAACTTCAGTACACGATCTAATCTGAAACAGTGAGAGTGCTGCCTTCTTTTGCATGGAACACTAACCTGAGAGGACAGATGTAAAAGTAACATAGAAGATCCTATAGTAATTTTTTGATGAGAAGGGGACTTTGCCATGGAGCCCAACCAATATCTATGCCTCAAACAATGACACTAAAGGCAGATGATCTGGTTATGCCATGTCGGTCTGTGGAATCTTGTTAGTTGAAATAAGTTACTTAAATCTTCCCCTCTGTACTTGTGGATTTTATTTTGCCAGTTACCTGTTTAGTCTGAGCCAGCCAAGGACCTGGCTTACAGCATCCTGTAATTTCACATTCAAAAGAAACCTTGGAGAATAACGGTTTAATCAAATCAAGTCAGCTTCAAAGATCCTAGTACTGAATATGATAAAAGGAAATTGCTAAATAAATTCAGCAAGTCTAGCACCATCTGGAAACAGAAACAGAATCAAGAGTCATATCAGATTTGAAACACGTTTCTCTCTCCACCGATGCTGCGAAACTGGAATTTCTCTAGAATTTTCTGTTTTTAGTTCAAGCATTGAACATGTCATGATTAAGTTATACCTGTTTGGTTCCTGTAAGCTGAGCACATGCACTGTCTTGGAACAATCAGATTAACCTTTGGGAACAATGTTCTTCACTGATTTGCAGGTCAAAACTTTCTTGGGCATTGGTTTAAAATCGATGCTATCAAATTAGTTTCTCATGTTCAGTTCAGGACTTTTATCTCGACCATGAGCTATCAAGATCAGAAATCAATTGTCTCAAAGCCAGCTAATCAGAGGCATATGAAATAACTTTGGGCACATTAAAACAATTTTAGCCATTAAGAGTGACCAAGAGGTCAGGTGAACCAAACAAATATGTAGAACTTTGACTAAAGCGCTAAATGCGTCCAGTGAGTCACACTGTTCTTGAAATAGTTTTGTCAGCTAATACTAGGGCAAGGGCATCACTGTTTGCAATAAGCAAGTGCATCAGACTGCGCAGAACAAAATCAACTTGTATCACAATCTGCACCTGGTGATCAAACAGGCCAAAATACTTTTTATTATCACAAGACTGAAAACTCTTCAGCAATGGTGCAAGTTAAAGATCATACGACCTTTTCAAATAACTCTAGAATCTATACTTAAAACATGTGTTTCATGGATATGAAGTTAATGGGGAGGAAAAAATTGACAACAGCTTTGCAACGGTAATTACTGAGTGCGTTTGTCCCATACATATCACTAATTTGCATGTTTCTCTAAAAGGAGATTAATTATTTAGTGGTTTCTGGTAGAATTAGTTGAATGACAAATGTTAGTCAAACCTAAGGAGATCTCCCTGCCCTCCTTTGAATCTTTGATCATACATCTGAGACACTGGAACATTGCTTTAAAATGTTATCTGAAATGCAAGATCATAACAGTGCAGTACCCCAACAACACTGTGGTGATGTCAACTGATATTATGAATACGCTGCAATTCAGCAGTGAAGTTTAAACCTGCAACTCTGATTAAGAGAGAAACTTCAGGAAAAAAAGCATGGTATTCATTTTATTAATTCAAGAGACGTGGGCATCACTAGCTAGACTAGCATTTATTGTCCATTTTTCATTGTCCTGGAAATGATGGTGGTGAGCTGCCTTCTTGAACTGCTGCCATCCATTTGGTATAGATACTCGCAGGAAAGAAGTTCCAGGATTTAGACCAGTGACAATGAAGGTATAGCAATATATTTTCAATCAGTATCATGAGGGACTTGAAGGGGATCTTACACGTGTTGATGTTCTCATGTATCTACTGTGCTTTTGTCTTTCCAGATGGTAGAGGTCAAAGATATGGGAATGCAGCTTTTTGTGTGGATATATCTTCAAAAGTTGCGTCTGTTTAAGCTACTTGTGACATACAGTTTCTTTGTTTCAGTCAATAGAGAAAGCTGTGTTCTATAGTTGTGCTGATGTAGGAGACAGACCAGTTTGAAACATTCATTTGTTTCATCATGTATAAAGAAATGTTCTCCATCCTGCTGCTGAAGGAACCTTAGTTAGTTGCTGCTTACGTCTTGGAGACCGTGAATACTGTTATAACAGGGCATCAATAATGCAGCGAGTGAGTGTTTAAGGTGGTATAATGAATGGCAGTCAAGTGGGCTGCTGTCAAGATTTTTTATTGTTAAGAGCTGCACTCATCCAGATAGGCACATTGCTTAATTTATATAAAATTATTAAAATAGTATTCCATTGACTTGTGCCTTGTAGATGATGGACAAGCTTTGAAAAGTCAAGAGTTGAATTGCTTGCCACTGAATTCCCAGCCTCTAACCTACTCTTGTCAGCACAACATGTAAATGGCTGGCCCAGTTCAATAACAGGAACCCCAGAATATTGGTGGAATTCAGCAATGGTTGTCATTTAATTTCAAGGAGATGGTTAGATTCTCTCTTGTTGGAGAGAATATCTGACACCATGCCAGAACCAATTTTAGCATTTGAAAGAGCCTGTAAAATTACACAAACCTACAATTTATTTACAAGCCTAACAAATGTTGGCTTGATAGATCCCAGACAAGTCTACAAGTCATGTTCATATAATCCTCAATTGCCATGCCTTCTAACATTCTAGACTGTTCATTTGTCTTTTATATAAAAGCAGCAGCCCGCTTGTAATTTTATTGCCATTCTGACATTTTTTTTCCTACATGATGCATTTCCCCTAAGAATATTAAACATACAGCCAATTCTTAACTGTAGAATAAAGAATGCAATGTGCAATGTGAAATTAGATAATTTATCCCAATTAGCAACTTCAGCTTCTTTGTTCAGACACCCCAAATTAGACAAACCAGTTATTCCTTGTTGATTATAGAACCTTGCTGTGAAGATTTGCAGACGTATTACTTAAATTAAGCAATGGCTGCATTTCAAAATACCTTCATTAGGACATCTTCACTTTGTGGAAGGTATATAAATGCAAGTTTCTAATAATAACCTCCATTTCCCTAACAGTTTGAATCTTGTTATCCATACATTATTAGACTTGCCTGGTGTCAGCTGATAGAATTTTCACTGAGAAAGATGGAGTTTGTTTGATTTCTTTTATACCTTTTCTTATTAAAAAAACTTCTTTTGAGAACAGAATCCCACCTTTTCGCTCCAGAGTATACCTTCAAAAGTTAACGAAATAGACATCTCCCTTTAATCCTGTTTTATTACTTCTCTATACATATTAAGCTGCTGATAACTCAGCAATGCCTAACCTAAATTCTTTGGAAAACAGTAAACTTCAAAGAGAAATTAGGGAATACACTGCAGTTGCTGGTTATTAACTGTTTCAAAAATAAAGCAAATTGTTAGTTGCATTTCCTGGGAAATAATTGCTATGAATTGGTTAGGACTTGATAATTACACTGGCCATTCAAACTTCCCAATGTAGAGTTTGATTCTTTCATTACCTTGTTAAACTAGACATTACTATATCACTATGTTGGCATTACTTGTTACCTAATGCCAAGCAGGACTTTTTCTTATCTTCCATTTAATAAAAGCTGTCCCTCTACACTTCTTAAACAGATCAAATTAATGATAATATATGTATGCATACTTTCTAAGTAAGGAACTGTGTGGGAAGGAGGAGTGGAAGCAACCCACCAAACAAAAAGGAACCTTAAGTTCCATAATTAAATTTCAAATATAATGGAGTGACCTGCAAACCTTAACAAGTAAAGATACCAGAGTTCAATTTCGTGGCTTTTTTTTTAGTAACTCTACAGGTTTATCATCTTTGAAATCTGAATGTTGTCTTTACACTTACATTGCTGCTCGATTGCCAGTTTGTACTGGTAATAATTATAGTATTCGCCTCCAAACAGAAAAGAGAACTTGGGGTTTTCTTTTTGTTTCTCCATTGTCATTTTCTCGAATTCGGGGCCATTCCGGGCCACAAACTGTGCTAGTTTGTCGATGACATTCCTCAACTCCTGGTCTGCAACAAGAAAAACATTATTAACATCCAGGCTATGGACTATATCTCTTTTTTCCATTGAAGATGTTGGGTATTGGGTAGATCTAACATACATTATATATATGGGTTACATATGTTCGGTTGATAGAAAACGCTGTCATACATCATACAAACTAGCCAAAATAGACTATTCAGTCCCATTAGTCTGCTGCACTGTGTGATAAGATTGTAGCTGACTGGACTGTGGCCTCAACTCCTTTTTTCCATCTACCCCCAATACTCTTATATTATTGACCAACAATGGAGTCAATCAATTTCTACCTTAAAGATATTTAATGACTGTCTCCACTTTTTTCTTGGAAAGAAAATGGTACAGACTCATGACCTTCATCTTTCAATATAACCTTTCCTCGCTAGATTCATCCCAGAAATCAGAAAAGGAAGCCTCTATGGGCTGTTTCTAATGAAGTTACGTAATTTCTTAAAGACGACCAAAACTGCGCACAATACTCTAAACGTGGACTCAACCATGCTCCATGCAACACTTTCCTACCTTTATGTTTGAACCCTTTTGCAATTTATTCAAATTTCCATTTGCTTTCCTAGTCCTTTACTGTATCTGCATACTAATTTCTCACGATTCATGTAGCAGGAAACAGGTTTTTTTAAAAAAAATGCTCGTGGGATGGGGCGTCAATGAGTAGGCTAGCATTTACTGCCCATACCCAATTACACTCAAAGTGGTGATGGAGAACTACCCCCTACTACTGCAATTCTGTGGGGTAGGCAGGAATATAGCAGACTGGCAAACTACAGTGGCTCAGTGCTTAGTACTGCTACCTCACAGCACTAGGGCCTCGGGTTTAATTCAGCCTTGGGTAACTGTCTTTGTGATGCTTGCATATTCTCCCAGTGTCTGCGCGGGTTTCTTCTGGGTCCTCCAGTTTACTCCAACAGTCCAAAGATGTGCAAGGTAGATGTATGAGCCATGGGAAACCCAGGAAATGGTTCAGGAGTGGGTCTGGATGGGATTCTCTTCAGAGAGTCAGTGTGGACCCTTAATGGGCTGAGTGGCTTGATTCCATACTGTACGATTATATGATTCTAGAAGATAGAGGGCAGCACAGTGGCTCAGTGGTTAGCGTTGTTGTCTCACGGTGCCAGGGACCCAGGTTCAATTCCAGGCTCAGGCAAGCATCTGTGCGGAATTTGCACATTCTCTCGGTGTCTGTGTGGATTTCCGCTCAGTGATTTTGTTTCCTCCCACAATCCAAAGATGCTAAGTTAGGTGGATTGGCCAGACTAAATTACCCGGAGTGCTCAGGGATGTGCAGGTTAGGTGCATTAGCCATGGAAAAAACAGGGTTGCAGGGATGGGGTCAGGGAGGGACGCTCTTTGGAGGGTCGGTGTGGACTTGTTGGGCCATATGGCCTGTTTCCACACTGTAAGAATTCTATGGAAGGATTCTATTCTATGAAGTAGGCCATACAGCCCATTGAGTTTGTTTTGCCATTCTAGATCATGGTTGATCATTTACCTCAATGCCACTTCTTCACACTACCCCCATTTCCCTTGATGTGATTAGTATCCAGACATTTATCTATTTCTGTCTTCAACAAGCTCAATGACTGAGCTTCCGTAGTTCTCTGGCATAGAGAATTCCAAAGATTCATCACACTAACTGAAAAAATTACAGTGCTAGATGACGTATTTGAAAAGGCAGCAAGTGAGGGGAGTTCAAGAGTTCATCTTTGGAGATATTTTCCATATTCGCCTCTGGGGCCACTTGAGGATGAAAGCCACACAAAAACAAATTTGTACACCTCTGTTTAATCCATGGGCCTTCAGAGCATTTGACCTATATGTAATATTCCAAAAAACAACTGTGAATAGGATTAGAGATAGTAGGAACTGCAGATGCTGGAGAATCCGAGACAACAAGGTGCAGGGCTGGATGAACACAGCAGGCCAAGCAGCATCATAGGAGCAGAGAGGCTGACGTTTCGGGCCTAGACCCTTCATCAGAAAAGGGGGAGGGGAAGGGGGTTTTGAAATAAATAGGGAGAGAGTGGGAGGCGGATAGAAGAGGGATAGAGGAGAGGATAGGTGGAGAGGAAACAAACAGGTCGAAGAGGCGGGGATGGAGCCAGTAAAGGTGAGTGTAGGTAGGGAGTTAGGAAGGGGATAGGTCAGTCCAGGGAGGATGGACAGGTCAAGGGGGTGGGATGAGGTTGGTCGGTAGGAGATGGAGGTGCGGCTTGGGGTGGGAGGAGGGGATAGGTGGGAGGAAGAACAGGTTAGGGAGGCAG